GTATGTATAAATTTTTGTAAGGGAAAAAATAAAAAAGCAAAAACAAACAAAAAAAAAAAACAAAAGGGATCTCTACTACTATATTTAAGAGATAGTAACAGTAGTTGCCCACCACATCAAGCTGCTTAAAATACATTAAAAATACTTTACACCAAAGTAAGTGGCCTTAGAGATTCTTATATGTCTACAAATTTTAGGTATCTAGCAGAGTTCGCAAGGGCAGGGGTGGTTCTGTGGTAGAATTCTCACCTTCCATGCAGGAGACCCAGGTTTAATTCCTGGTCAATGTACCTCAAGCACAGCCACCACCCATCTGTCAGTTGAAGATTGTGTGTTTGCTATGATGCTGAACAGGTTTCAGTGGAGCTTCTAGACTAAGACAGACTAGGAAGAAAGGCCTGGCTATCTACTTCTGAAAATTAGCCAGTGAAAGCCCTATGGATCACAATGGTCTGATCTGCAACTGATCTTGGGGATGGTGCAGGACTGGGCAGTGTTTTCTTCCATTGTGCAGAGGGATGCCATGAGCTGGGGGCAGGGAATCAAACCCACGTCTCCTGCATGGAAGGTGAGAATTCTATCACTGAATCACCAAAGCTCCCACAAACCATGGAAATACCTGTATAATATTTAGAGTCAAGTCACTGCTTTCCAGTTGGCCAGGCTGGAAGGTCAGGGGCTGGGGTAAAGGCTCTTTATCTTACTTAATCCACATTTAGCTTAGAAGCTGGGTGAGATGGAGCCTTAACTTGGTTTTGTCATTGGACCAGCTGAGAGGGAGGTGCTATAGAAGCCAGACGATGGGGGTGACTGAGAATATGGGCACAGAGGGCCCAAGTCTGTCTTTGACTGAGTCACCACTGCTATGGTCTCTGGCATGTGTTGGTGCTTTTTAAATATTGCAGGAACAAATGAATCTGACTTGATATTTTTTCTCCCTTTACTCCTACAGCAGGGGTCCCAATGGAAAACCTGGCAGCCTATGGCTCATCTAAGGCAGCTCTGACCATGTTTTCGGCAGTTATGAGACAAGAGCTTTCCAAATGGGGAGTTAAAGTTGCTGTCATTCATCCAGGAGGCTTCAAAACAAGTAGGTGTCAGAAGTCATGGAGTCCTGCAATGTTTATCTTCAAAGGAATCCTGAAGGCCCTCTTTTCCTGGTAGAGTTCAAATTGAACCCCTCAGTGGTCAGCCAAAAACGATTGGGATGGGTGGGCCTCTTCTTGAAATAGATGGGCAAGCACCAGGCTCTTCAATGCATAGCTCATTCTTTGCTTCCTTTTGGAGTCCCTGGGTGCTGCAAATGGGTACCACACTCAGCTGCTACTGAAAGGTTGAAGGTTCGAGTCCACCCAGAGGCTCCTCAGAAGAAAGACCTGGTGACCTACTTCCAAAAACTCAGACATTGAAAACCCTATGGAACTCAGTTCTACTCTGACACACATGGGGTCGCCATGAATTGGAGCTGACTCCACAGCCCCCAGGGTCTCTGCATATACACACATACATGTATGTATATATATACATATGTGTGTATGTATATGTATGTATATACATAAAACATTTTTTTTCAAGATATTGGCTCATGTGATTATGGGGGCCCGCATGTCTGAAATCTCTAGGGCAGGCCAGCAGGCTGGAAACTCAAACAAGAGCTGACATTGTGGCCTTGAGGCAGAATCTTCTTCAGGAAACCTCAGTTTTGCTCTTAAGACCTTCAGCTGATTGCATGGAGCCCACCCACGTTATTGATGATAATTGCCTTTGCTTAAAGTTAACTGACTATACATGTTAACCACATCTACAAAACACCTTCACAGTGAGAAGCTTGGTGCCAGAGGCGTGGTCAACATGGCAGACTAGTTAGATGCTTCCTATATCCCTCTTACAACAAAGACCTGGAAAAACAAGTGATTTGACTGTATGTGAAAATCCGGCAGCCCTGAACAAGGCAAGGTTAAGAAATCCATCTGAGTCATACCAGAGAGGAAGACCATTTGGAAGAGGTGAGGAGTGCTAGAGCTGCGGTGGCAGCACAACAGAGACACAGCCATGAGGGGCCGCGGTGAAGCAGGCAAACAGCCTGTGCTGTGCACGCGCTGGAGAAGCAGTTTCCACATCATGAGAGACCCAGCGGCAGAGATTCTGCTTGGACACTCCGAACCAGTGAAGAGCAGGTCCCAAGAGGCTAGGATAAGTACATGTGCACACCCTTCCACAGCGAGTTAAAAAAAAAAAATCCATTTGGGAAAAACCTCTCTCCCTTTTACCTCCTACCTCTGCACTCTGCACCGGCTTTGGGAAAAACCTCTCTTCCTTTTACCGCTTCCCTCCCCGCTCTGCACCGGGAGTCTACTGGGCCGGAAATAGATCCCAAAAGGTGCCCTGACCCATTCTCCTGGCCTTAGAGAG